CGCCGCGCGTCGGTATTATACTGGGTTACGTACCCGGAGATATAGCAACCTAGAAAACCGTGCGAACCCGTACGTCGGACATTGGGCTCTCCCTCGACAATTCTGTCCAACCTTTAGACGCAGCTATTCATATTAATAGAAGTCGTAAATCTAATAAAGTATGATGAGTTGATTAAATCTCACTTTCTCCATCAATATCGATTCCCGTCTTGACACATATTTTTAACCGATATTGCATATTAAAAACTCCTTGTTTGCGAGAAAAAAAATAACCGAATCAGAGGAGCGCGTCAGCTGAAAGATCGAATTGCACCTAGGAAACAGGTATCTCGTCAGATCGCATATGCAAGATACTCCTTCATGTACATATATGTGTAGGCGGAAACTACACACACGGGGAGCAAAGCTCTATATGCGAACGCACACGAAAGTGCCGATGGATGACCAAGCGGCTTACTCGACACGAATGCGCGCGTGATGCGGGAGGAAGGGAGAGAAACAAACGGCGGGTGAAAGAAGGACAGGAAATTCGTATGAGGGGACTTTGAAGATAGAACGAGCGGACTCTACTTTCCCCCTGGGACGTCGGAATATCAAAGTTCGGCTCGCGTAAGCCGCAGAAACATGCGGGCTGATTCTCATGGACCATTCTGGTGTCATCGAAAATTAAATTGATCTTACCCGCGATCGTAATATTTTTGTCACGATAATTTAATTCCTATATCGACCTATCGACCTATATGATCGACTCGAACATATCTTTATTTGATTTCTATTGGTCGAATCGATCAATTTTTTTGTTCTTTTTTAAGAATATATAGCTTTATTTTTTTTCAAATTTTGATACAGTCATAATATTTACTTGTATCAATAATCATTATAAAAAATTTAATTAAATTTATAGAACTCATTGTAATATTTGTCAAAATTTTTACAGAGCGATTCCATGAATTGAAACTAAGAGAAATCAAATATGATTAATTTTATCACAGTACTACTTTTAGCCAAAATTATTCTGAGAATTATTTTAAAAATTAACATTGGTTGTTTTAAGAGAACTAATGAATTTTAAATACGGAGTAATTTTGCTCACTATAAATTTCTGAAAAAAGATTACTCAGGAATAATCTAAATAATTTTCAATAAAAAATTACCTAAAATATTTTAAGAATATAAACAAAGACAATCACCCATCACTAATAAAAGAATATTTAGCAATGTATGAGAATTGGAGTATCTTGGAATATATGGAGTATATTGAAATACGATTGATGACCACGTGTGATCCGGTCACGAGTGAATATAGATAACAGAATATAACGGCTAAAAAGGAAATTTGTTAAAAGTACCACGTTTGCGGCATTTAAAACTGCGTGGCATTTAATGCCAACGCCAATTAAAAATCCAATACTCGTCGTCGGGACGATATATTCGTCCTGCCGTTTACACTACTCTCGAATTCGCCTACTTGAAAACTCTGGCGAGATCATTTTTCTCATAGCCCCACGTTATTCTGGGATAAATTTGTCGTTGTACATTTTTTTTTTCATCTAGTAAAATCGCTATCGTGGCGGGAGGCGGCATTAATGCGCAGGCACGCAACTAAACGTGACGATGAGAAAAAGAGAAGGCGATTAGACGTGCGTGCATACGTTGGAGCAATCCTTACAATTTAAACGCATACTCTATTTTAAGATCATGTGCACCATCAAACACAAAATTGTAGAAATTAATTGTATCTCCCAGTAAAATATTTACAATTAAAAGACTATCTAATCACGCTTCATACATAAGATTCTAATTCAAGCAATTTTTAATCGTACAAATTTTTCAATCAACACGTCATGCAACATTACTTTCTGATTATACGCAAATTTTTAGCGATATCGACCGTAGCGAAATCGAGGCATTTTTATATTTTTTCGAAGCTGCCGTATTTTTCTATCGGTACATGGTTCCGCGGAGACAATCCTAAATAGGCGGATCCACGCATATTTGTCACGCGTACAAAGGAGTCCCAGGTATATCCCGCGAAACTCCACCGCCAATCAATATTTTCGTAGGATTCAACGGGTGTCCTGTTTGTACGACGTCAGTTTACCGACGCGCTCGCTTCAGGATGTATGAGTTTGCCGAATTAGCGTGCTGTTTAATCAGGCGCGAGGATTGTGTCCTTCCAATGCTCGCGTCGCGTTGCGGAAATATCGGGGAACCAATGACGCTCGGCCCGGGTCCCCACATTTCACGTCGCGAGACGCGTGATTTTTCGATGATTCCCGGCGGGGTCCACCCATCCCCTCGCCCCCGCGCATGGCCCTCCGGCTAAATAAAAATACAAAAAATAGCGGCGCTTCGCACGATGACCGATCTGGGAAGTGCAGTTCGGTGTCGGCCGCGCCGACATCGAGGAAATTGACCAACGTTTGCTACACGCAGCCGCGCGCTCGAAAACGCTGAAAAAAAGTTTCGAGCTTGCGACAAACGCGGACAGCCGAACACGAGCGAAAGTAAAACGATCTTTATAAATGGGCCGATTAAAACGATCGTAGCGTAAGTTATATCGACTGCGAGAACTCGTAACAACGTTTTATTACTGAAAATATTTCGTCTGCATCGTTCTCATTCCTGTTAAAAGGTAAATATTTATATTCTGTAAAGATAATGTTAACATGTTATAGGTAAATTGATAGTTAAATCTACTTCGATATTTATACGAAAATTTATATGAAAGTCAGTTTGTCGCTTATATTAGAGCCTTTGAAAAATATATAAAATTTTCAGAAAAATGTTACAAGGAGTAATCACGTCTGATGAAACACTTACTTTCATTACTTATTTAACGCAATTTTTAAAAATTTAATAGTAGATATTCAACAAAAGATAAATAAATTGTTATAAAAAATTACTAAACAAAAAATGACAAAATATTTCACGATTCTCGTTCTACGTAGACGACTTTCGTTCATCACGTTAAAAAGCTCGTCCGATAGAATAAAAACAATTAGAAACGAATGGAAATAATTTCTAGATTGCACTAATGTTATTTGATCATCATTCGAACCGTGATAGACGTGTGAAGAACTGTCACCGGAGGAATCGACCGCGGCAGAAAGCGCGAACGCGCGAACGACATCCGTAAATCGATATGATTTACTCTCGCGGATAGAGAGCGGCGACTGTTCGCGGGACAGAGGAATACAACGCGAAACGAGCCGATGAACGACATTTCGATTCAGCGATGAAAGAGCAATAAGCCGGATGAAGCAAACACACCCATTTCCTCCGGTCGATGCACTTCCTTCCGCTATTTCGAACTTTCGTATTCCCTTACAGCTC